TGGCGGAGCCTTTATGAATAGTCCATAAGATGTAACCTATAATCTTATAGAGGAAATGGCTAAGAACCATCATTCTTGGAGAAGTGTGCGACAAGTTACCTCTAAAACCACCCCTTAAGTTGGGGAAATGCATGAAGTGAATAATTTTGATCACATGAATGCTAAAGTTGATGCTCTTCAATTCTACTAACAAAATTCTTCCTTCCTTCCAAGTTCACCACACCCAAATCCACTATAGCATTCCATAATTTTCACCTAATGTTATTGTCAACAAAATCCCGTTGCCTCCAGTTACTCCTACAGGTGTCTGAATTTTCTGTTTGGTCCCCATAAAAAACTGATTCACTAATAGTTTGCTGCTAGATAGGAGCAAAATGTCGAACAAGTTTGGAAAATATAGTCGCTCCAGGATTTGCAATTGGTACTGAATTAGAATACACCTTAGGTACAAAAATAACTTTACCTCTAGTCTTGATTCTCTTCACAGGCCTCAAAGACTTCTTCTTAGAACACTTACCATATCCACCATATTCTTGAATTTCAATTTTTTCGAGTGGTTTCTCTTTGGTGAACCAGCCACTGAGCATTTTACTACCGAACCATTCGCCTCTGTAGAAACACAGTTAAGGTTGTCGGTAGACTCGCAATTGGCTTCCATCTGTATCAAGCCCTTAACAGTATCGAGGGATTTGTCAAAAGAATCCTCCAGAATGTCTTCAGTTGAACTGAATTTAACACAAAGAGATTCTACAACTATCTCTAATGGATTTTTTCCTTCTGCCTCAATAGTCTTCTTTTAACAGTTACTCGGACCAAACCCTTCAACCTCCCTGGAAGAGAATAATTCTCTATACTCTCCCATGTTTCCTCCTTATCAGAATAATCCCTCCCTTCAAAATAATTGTTTTCCCAACTGTCGTCTGATATAGAAGACACTGAATCAGTAATTTGAAACTTAGATTTACCTGTTGTGAAATAAAACGGACCATATGATTCTTCTCGTAGGAACAAACGAAACTTCTTACCATCAATGTTGACACAGATAGCATCCGGAAGAATGAACGAAATAGCAACTCTCAACATGAATTTAGCAATTTCCAAATCGGACCCTTTAGAAGTATTTTCATCAAGACACACGAAAGTTCCTAACAAATTCTCCAAAGATACGAAGAAATCGCAACTCCACGCTTGAGCAGGAACACCAAAAACCTTGATCCAAACGACTCTTTCCTGATCCACCTCCTCCTCACTCCACCTCTTAACCTCTGAATACCATTGTTTCCACCACGTTTCACCCTCCCCAATTAAATCTTCAATCACCCATTCCTCCAATTCTTCGAGCAAACAAAGATTCTCTCCCAAAGGCGTGACCTTGGTCGCAAAAAACCCTTTCATCACAAAATAAGTTTGGATGTTGTAAGCGGTACCTGGAATCGAAACTTGGCCCACGTACGCTTTTTGTAGTCTAGCTTTATCTTCCACTTTAGAAGAAAACAACAAACAATCCTCCATACCTTGATCTGAATTAATATCCCTGTTAGCCACAACTTCAGCAAACGATCTGAAATCCCTTCGTGTTTTGAATCCCTCCCTGTTCTTATGACAATTAAGCCGTCGAGTGTTTTTCGTCCCCAAACTCACCGTCCCCCTAAACCGCCTTTCCTCCGTTCTCAATTTTCTCTCAAACTTGGGAACGTTAGCGTGAATTTTCTTTTCCCCCGATCAAAACATTATCCAACTTCACTGCCATCAGCCGAGCGTCCACCACCTCCTTAAATCTCGTGAAACCGAACTTCTTCCCCAACATGTTTCTTCTTGATGAAATAGACACCTCCACCACCTCACTGATGCAGCCAAATAACTCATAGAAATCATTCGCCTTGCTTCTATCCGAAAACTCCAAAAAATAAATCGATGTGATGCTCTCCCTTCCTTCTTTCTCTAAACGTCTATCAAACTCTAATCCCTTTTAAAAATTTGATGATATGTTTAATAAAATTTTATTAAATATAAATTTTGATTGATCTCAATAAAATATTAAAATTTTATTACGATGATCTATATGATATAAAATTTCAATTTTAATATTTAATTATATAAATTTATAATATATTATTTAAATGAATTAGACCAAAAAAAAAATAGTATTAAACGGTTTAACATTACCTAAATATCAATTAGTATAATTTGACTCCCTCTCCTATATATATGTATAGTATGAGCATTTTCTTTTTTCTTGCTTGAAACATAGACTTGTCTGTTCTTAATGGATGTCAATATCATGAGAGTCACCTTATATGAAAATGTCATTAAATTACTTGACCTAATCACAGGCTGTCCTAGAACCCTAATTTAATGGTAGTTATATTCCGGTTGAGGCAATTGCACAAGTCAACTAACCTCCCAACATAAATTTTTTCATTGGATGTTGGTTGTGGAAAAAAAAAGGAGCCTTTACAGCCCATGTGAGTTTATACATGGAGGGGCCCTTTTCATTTACATTAACATCACTATGCCTTTGATGGTGGGATATGCTTTTGCATTTTTGATATTTTTCCTTTCATCCAAAGGTTATAAATACTAGTGGAAGTTGTGTGCTTTTAGGTTTTTTTTACTTTCTTTTTCCTTTTCCCTAACTCAAAGGTTATTGGAGAATTAATTTAAAGGCCATACCCGCCAAGGTATATGGAACTTTCATCACACTTACCTTGGTTTCCATAGTTGAGAAAGCGACTAGAGGTCCAAAGTTGTCCTCTAGGTTTTGGAAATTTTAGAAGGTGAAGTATTTTTCTTTTTTACTTTACTAGGTATGCACATTAAATGAGGTTGTATGGAATGTTTTCGATAACCGAGATGTCTCGCGGCCGCAACAGAAAAATGCGCGATTAGGGAAGACGTGTTTGGTCGAACTTATGATTTATTGATCATATTCAAATGTGTGTTGTGGGAATCAAACTTTGGCTAGTTCACCTATAAGTTCAATGTGGATTATCAACTAAACCATTTTTATTTTGAATGTTTGTCTATCAAGTTGACATAATCTTGAAATTTAGATGGAACCAAATGCCCCTGTTATCCCCTTAGTTTAATTGGTTAGAGGTTCTCGTTCACCAAAATAGGCTTCAAAATGTTAAAGGAGGGAATTAGCAGAGTATTTTAGTTGGTTGAATTATAAACTTTTACTTTCAACTTGCCTAACTTCACTTTTACTTTTATGAGTAGATTGGTCTAAGTTTCCACTCTAGGGTAGAGGCAGTTAGGGGTAAACAAAGAGACATAACAATAAAAAGCAAAAGGCAAAAGCTATGTCAAAAACATAAATACTATGACTAATGGTAAATTAGTACTATATTTATATTTAGCCCTGTTGTACGGACACTTTGAACAAAGACGTCTAAGTTGGTGCTAAGTTTGTATTCCCAAAAATATAAAGGGGCTTCATGAGGAGAATTTTGAACCTAATGTGGTTTTCAAATTTCACAAGCTTAACGATATTTTTTATCAGAATTCAAAGTAGAAAAGTAAACAAATTTAAATTCAAATCAAGACAAACGGGGTGCACATGGAGTGCAATCTTAAACGAAGTATAATATAGGAAATATTTTGAAAATATTTAGATACAATTCTAATTCTATAAGTAATTTTATAAATATTATTCATATTTTTCTCCAATAAAAATATAATAAATATACTTAAATATTTTTTAAAAATTAAAAATAGAAAAAAATTATATATATATAAAAAAAAACTATACACTTATCATATTTTTATTAGAAAAAAATATAAACCACACATAAATACACCTAAATTATTTTTATTAGAAAAAAATATAAACCACACATAAATACACCTAAATTTTTTCCTTATAATATTAACCAAGTGCAGGAAAAAGGCTCCATTAACAATTAAAGCGTATGAACAAAGGTTCTAGGAATGGACATTAAGGTCCCACCACCATTGAAAGTACGCTGTTGAAACTAGACAGTGGTGGAGACCTCGATCGAAAATTGAGGACAATTTCAAACTAAAAGTACCATGATTGAAGGACTAGCTCCCCCTAAATTATTGCTTTGAAAATTAAAAATATAAACATCATACTTATTTATATTTGTTAACCCTCCAACGAATGTTCTAACTTTTGTGGCTAATGTAATTACATGTGTCGGTGTCAGAGATATCGTATGGGGCTTCCGGAGTCCATTTTGGATATTCAGTTCAAAAACAGATTAGATATGGAAAAACAAAGTCATAAGATATGGAAGGTGAATGCAGAGAAACATTAAAGTGTCAAGGGGAAGCAAAAACATGCATACAGAAGATTCTGATAGCAGAGAAATATTTGAGACACAGATAAGAGAAAGGAATAACCTCAATTCAGAAAATCAATACAAGTAAAATGTTCATAAATTATACTATAAATTGCAATGCAAAAGAAACAAAAATAAAAAAATAAGTAAAAAAAAAAGTATGATATGAGACAATAACAATAAACTCCACAAACAAGAACAGCAGCAGTAGCAGAAAGTGCCACACACTGATATCTGATCTTAATCTTTGCAGGCCCTGAATTATGGTGTCATGGTCTCCAAATTCATTCATTCCCATAGATACATGTTTTTCCTCTGAAACCTAATCTTCTTTCTCAGCCATTTTTATTACACAACTTGAATATTCATAACAATTCAAATCAATATGGGACAGAGACATTTTCCCCGTACCTATATTACTCAATCCACCATAACCTCATGTTCACCATTTTTTCTTCCCTTTTATCTATTGACCCACAAACAAAGGACTAAATTATGTTGCTTCCTGACACAAAACCCTTCTAGGTTTTCTCTTGGTTTATTGTAATTTGATTTGATTTCCCCCTAAGATGCGATGAGCATCGCATTCATGCATGCATGACTGAATTTGATAAAAATGTGAACTTTGAAGTGCGTTATAAAAGGTTGGTGGTGGAGAGGGTAAAGGGGTAAGAGGAGAAGTTCTCAAAAGAATTAATAAAAGGGTGGTGGTGGTGGTGATGCATACGAGACTCCAAAGACTGGTGGTAATGGCCCTTCATATACAGGTGTAGGTGGTGGTGGTGAATTGTATTGAATTGGTGGTGGAGGTGAAGAATAGACTGGTGGTGGTGGAGGTGAAGAATAGACTGTTGGTGGTGGTGGTGAATTGTAATGAACTGGTGGTGGGGGAGAGGAATAAACTGGTGCTGGTGGTGGAGAGAAATAAACTGGTGCTGGTGGTGGTGAGGTATAAACTGGTGGCGGTGATGGGGATGGTGGTGGGAGATAAGGTGTTTGATGGGGTGGTGGAGGTGATTGTTCTTCACAAGGAGGAGGTGATGGAGGTGGTGGTGGGGGTTCTATACAAGGTGGTGGAGATGGTGGAGGTGGTGAATGGACTGGTGGTGGAGGTGAGTGAACTGGAGGAGGTGGTGGGGGTGATAAATATGGATAAATAGGTGGTGGAGGAGAGTGAGGTGGTGGTGGAGGTGAATGAGGTGGTGGAGGAGGTGACTGAGATGGTGGTGGAGGCGGTGAGCTGTAATAGTAAGGTACAGGCGGTGGTGGGGAGAATACAGGAGCTGGTGGAGGTGGTGAATTGGGTGGTGGAGGTGGAGGAGACCTAACACAATAGGGTGGTGAGGGACTTGGAGGTGGTGGCGAGTTAACAGGAGGTGGAGGCGGCGGTGGTGGAGGTGGTGGGTAAACTGGAGGAGGTGGAGAGGGTGGTGGGGGTGAAGGTGGTGGAGGTGAGGGTGGAGGAGGTGGTGGAGAATACACTGGTGGTGGTGGTGGTGGGGAAAAAGGTGGTGGAGGTGATGGTGGAGGTGGGGGTGGTGAGTACACTGGAGGAGGTGGTGGTGGAGGTGAAGGAGGAGGCGGTGAAGGAGGAGGAGGAGGTGGTGAATATACTGGTGGAGGTGGGGGTGGTGGAGAAAACACAGGCGGAGGTGGAGGTGGTGGAGAAAACACAGGTGGAGGTGGTGGAGAAAACACGGGCGAGGGTGGAGGAAGAGAAACTGGCGGCGGTGGAGGAGGAGATTGTGGAATAACAACAACAGGGGGAGAAGGTGGTGGTGAAGGCAAAGAAGGAACAAAAGCTTTACACCTAAAAGAGCTGCAATCAATAGGGTGAGACAAAAACGACTTACATTCCCTCGCTGACCGTTGATTCTTTCTCGCCGGCAAACAATTCCGTTCATCATCAAAAGCCGGCAAACCCAAACACCGTGGCGGCTCGCCGGAGAAGAAGTTATACGAATAAGTGAAGTTCTCCAAATTCGGCAACGCACAAATACTCTCCGGAATCTGACCAGAAAGCATATTATGCGCCACGTTCAACTGTTCCAACCCCACCGCATTCCCAATCGCCGCCGGCAACGGCCCCAACAATTTGTTAAAACTAACATCAAACACCGTCAAATTCTTCAACAACCCTATCTCCGCCGGCAAACACGACTGCAAACCGTTATTCATCGCAATAATCTCGTTCAAATTCGTCATGTTTCCAATCCCCGCCGGAAAACAACCGTGAAAACGGTTATTCGCCAGAACGATAACAGAAACCGGCGAATTACCGAAATTATCGGGTAAATCGAACACAAACCGATTATGATTGATGAAAATCGCATCCAAATCTTTATCAAAAAGCGCCTTCGGAACCGTGCCTTCAAACTCATTGAACCTCAGATCTAGAAACTTCAACAACGGTAACCGGAGAACAACCTCCGGAAACTTTCCGGCGAAGCGGTTATTACTTAGATCCAACTCGAACAAGATTTTCAGCTTCTCAAATTTATGAGGAACCGTTCCACAGAATCTATTCGTATTCACATGGAAAAGAGCAAGATCGGTTAACAAACCAAGCTCCTCCGGCAAATATCCGGCGATATCACAGTGGTTAAGATCGACTCCGGCAACCGTTTGGATCTGAGGGTTATCCAATGCGGGTGCACAGAAAACATTCGTGTAGCTGCACACATTGGAACCCACCCAGTTAAGAGTGCAATTGTTTGGATCAGAGAGAATAGCTTGTTTCCAAGCTTGTAACGCCACGTAAGCGTTTTTGATGCGGTCGTTTTGAAAAACTAGAGATGGATCCACCGTAACATTTTCACCTCTATCGCCGAACTCGTCTCTGTAGTAAAGAAGTTGTCGATGTTTGATGTACATCGTTTCGGCTTCTGTGAGGGACCCATCCGAGACATGATACGATGAAACAACAGAAGGGAGTAGTGTTGTTAGACCTAGGAAGAATGAAAAGAGGAGAACAAAAACACACGACGGATTCGAATAATGCTGTTTTCTCCTCATCTCACATGAGGCATCTGAAGAAAAAGAAAACACTTGTGAGAATGTTGAATGGGTTTTCTTTTCTTGTATTGGATTTGAAGTGGTGTTTTGTGAAAGTTAAGAACTTTGTGAGATCTGAGAGAAATGGATATGGAAAATGTGGTATAGTTAGAGAGATGAATGTTTGGTTGTGAGAGAGGTGGAGAGAGAAGATGAAGAAGAGTGTGGTTTTGTTTTGGGATTATAGGAAATTTGGAAGTGTGTGTGAAGGTGTATATGAGTGTGTGAAGAGAGAGAGTGTGAGAGTGGAGATGAAATAATTCATCTAAGAGACAGCTAAATCACAGCTCAAAGCCCACCAGATTCTCTTTTTTTTTTCTTCTAGCTCACCTTTTTTTTTTATATTCAATGTTTCTATTTTTAGGTTTTTATTTTTATTTATTTATTTTTCATCTCTTACTTTAATTTATATTTATTTGTGATTTATTTTTGTGGTAGAGAAAAAATGCAAGATAGTGAAAATTCTCTTCATCTCAAAATAATTTATCTAATTTATCTATCAATTTAAGTCTTAATTAATGTACAAAATAATATTTTTGTTATTATAAAGTTTAATTATGATTTTAATTTTCTTATTTTATCCATTTATAAAATAAATTTTTATTTTAAATTTAAACAGTTTATTTCTTTCATATTTTTTCACTTAAATTTAAAGACATTTCAATTTTTAAATAATGTAGCACTTATGAAATATGATAAATTATCTTATAAAAAAATTATGAAATTTTATGAATGAAAATATAAATTAAAAAACAAATATTTTATTGATAGATAAAATTTAGATGTAATTTTTTAGATGTAGTTCTTATTATTATTTAATAAAAATGTGATAAATATATAATTTTTTCTTAAACATATATATTATCGTATATTTTCACTCTTTAAATAATATTTAATATATTTATTATATTTTAATTAAAAAATATTAAAATTTACAAAAGTTGTATCTAAATTTTGTACTTTATTGATTTACAAAAGAAAAAAAAAAGTAAAAAACATCAAAGTTATTTAAATTTAAAATAGAATAATTGATTCTACAAATATGATAAAATAGGGATACAAAAATAATTAAATTTTATTAAATGTATAAACTCTTAAGCTTGAACTTTATTAATATAAAAATATGATTTAAATTAAATATTAGTATATGATTAAAAGAAGTAGGTCATATTTTTCAACAAAATTTAGTAATCATATTTCGGATTTATTACATGGTTAAAAAACCTACATTTTTTACAAAATAAAAAACTACATTTCATTATTTGATGAAGAAGAAAACCTAGTTGTAGATCACTTTCCATTTCAATAAAGCGGAACGCGGAGAGAGGAATAAGCGTGTGCAAGAGAATAAACAGTTGTCAAAAAATATTAATTATAGTTTTTATAAGAAAAAATAAACAAGTCTTTCTTTTACTTGAAAATGTGTTCAGAAAAAAATATATCAAAAATCTATAACTCCATAATTTATCAAAAAAAATAAATCATAAAATAATTGTTTTGAGTAAACATTGTTTCCATTAGTATATTTAAAAAGAAAAAGTTATTACTCTTATATTATTATTTGTAGTTGGTGTAACTCACAAGTATATTTAATTGAAAAATATAGAAAGCTGTTAGCATGATCCTCAACTTTGATGGTAGCTGAATTTAATAAATTAATAATTTAATTGTCAAATTGTTTTGTTTAATGATAACCTGAGAGGTGGTTGTTTGTGTCGGCGTCCGTTGCCATGTCATGGACCTCTTTTAATAAATAAATAAATTAAATAAATAGAAAATAGTAAATTAAATTAAATTATGTCATGGCATTTGGACTTTTTCAATTTTCCACAATCCCGTGATTGCGATAACTTATGGACGGCCTTTTGCCTGATGGATGAATTTATGGCTTTTTTTCTAATTACTAACAAACTCCACCGATTTCTTTTTTCTTTTTTTTATAATTATAATAATGATAGTAAGACTAATTATATAAGTTGTTAAATAAAAATATTTTATCATAAATAATACTCCATTTTATTTTCATATTTGACGATAAATGTATTTTCAAAATAAAATGGTCACATTTAATTTGAAATATGATATTACATGTTTGTTTTTTTAGTATAATATTACATGTTTGAACATATTAATTAAAATTTTAATTAATTTGAAAGAAATTCATCCAAATTTATCAGATTGTAATTATGAGGAGAAAAATAAAAATGACTAATGAGACATCGTGTTGTACTACTTAAATATTATTTTGAGTCAACTATAAATTCAATGGCGTTAAAAGTCCAATCATAAGAAGACTCATTCTAAGAATGTGTGTTAATACATTGATAACTCAAAGTGTTCATCACTATTAAATATAATGTGATGTTGTATGAAGCACTAGATCAAACGAGAACGACTCTAACTACTGTATTAACTATATAAATTTTAGCACTATATAAATTTCAGCACTTATCATTTCAAATATTCTCTTATCCACATATTTAAAATATCACTCATTTATTGACTTAGGCGTTTGAGTGTTAGCTTTATAAGTCAGTTTTGCTCTATCGTATCAGAAATTCATTCCACCACATTGAAGCTCAAGTTTATTCATAAGTAGTGGCGGAGCCAGAAATATTATAAAGTCTGGGCGAAAAATTAAAGATCGCAAATTCACATTGTATATAATATATAAATACTCATTAATCAAAATAACAGAGACTCGCCATTTTGTCCACAAAAATATAGTTTAAAATAAAAGAGACAAATATAACCTTACAATAGCGGGTTAAATAAAATTACGAGGCAAATGTCTTTTCCGAGACTTTTTTGCGGTGAATGTTCGAATAATATCAATATCATTAAGTGATTTGAATATCTCCCGCTCAGTGTAACATACCATCAAGTCATTGAACCACACATCATTGATCTTATTGCGCAATTTAGACTTGATAATCTTCATTGCTGAAAAAGCTCTTTCAACGGATGCTGTCGACACCGGCAATATCAAAGCTAACTCAATAAGTTTATAAACCAATGGAAATACTAAATGTTTCTCAGTTTGAACCATCTTCATAGCCAAACTTTGAACATCTTCACAAGTGGAAAATGAAGCATTTCTTCTCACTTGAAGAACATAAGTCTCAAGTTGATCCCTTATTGTTCCTCGGTCATCATCAGAAAAGTCTACACGATAAATATCCGCAAGACGAGCAAGCTTATCAACATTAAACTTGGAGAAAGAGTTTTTGGAATCAAGACATGAAAAACAATTAAGGATAATGTTACTTTCTTCACTAAAGCGATGATCCATCTCCACACATATTTTGTCAATAGCAACATAAAAAATCTCTGCACGGTAATGATGAAGATTAGTGACAGTCCTCCCTTCTACCCTTGAACGACCCCGAACCGGTATTTCATCATCCATATTTGGAACTGGAATACCTTTAGCAACACAAAAATCTTGGACATCAGAAAATAAATTATCCCAACCACTCTCTCTCGTTGTGGCCAATCGAGCTTTGACATCATCAACTAATTCCATGGCAATCACAATATTAAGATCTTTTCTTTGCAAGACATTTGAAAGCTCGTTTGTGATACCAAACAACTTTAACATTAATTTCAAAATGAAAGAAAATTTAAAGCTCTCCATTTTTTCTATCAAACCCGCTGCTTGAGATGGTCCACGTCCATCTTCATCAACCATACTAAGCACCTTTAACACAGAGGGCCACATTTGATCCAAACGAAGCAATGTAGTATGATGTGAACCCCATCTAGTATCCCCAGGTCTTGTGAGATTAGATGATTGGTGAAAGCCCTTTCCTCTAGATATCTCACCACTCTCAAGTTTATTTAAAATATCTTGGTGTTGTGCCTCTATCAAAGCATCCCTCCTCTTACAAGATGCACTTGTTGTGGTCACAATCAAGGAGATGTACTCAAAGAAATCATGAATAGATGAGCAACTACTAGTAACAGACACAACAACTAATTGCAAGCGGTGAGCATAACAATGAACATAGAAAGCATAAGGATTTTCATCTAGAATTTTTCTTTGCAAACCATTAAATTCACCTCTCATATTTGAAGCTCCATCATATCCTTGCCCTCGTATCCTTGAAATCGATAACGTGTACTTATCAAGAATACCATAAAGAGCATTCTTTAATGACTCAGATGTAGTATCTTTGACATGATGTAGAGAAATAAATCGTTCCACAACATTTCCTTTGTCATTCAAAAACCTAAAATAAATTCAACAAGTTTACTTGGCGGCATAAAAAATAATAGGTCATGAAAATTAGAAAATACAACTACTAACCTCAACATCACCGCCATTTGCTCTTTGACGGATATATCACGTGACTCGTCAATAAGCACGGAGAATTTTCTATCACCAAGCTCTTCCATAATCACCTTGGTAACTTCATGTGCACAACATGTTGCAAGCTCCTTTTGAATGTCACCGCAAGTCATTGTGCAATTTTTTCCACCACGGTCAAAAGCGTCCCTCACTTGTTCATTTTTAGATTTTACCCAATCTACCATCTCTCTAAAATTACCCTTATTTAGAGAAGTAGAGGATTCATCTTGGCCACGAAAAGCCATGCCTTGTGCTATGAGATATCTTGAACAATCTAAAGAACAAGTCAAATGAATCTTATATAATTCTTCTGATTCCTTGGTTGCTTTAGCAAACTTACTTGTCACACTTTGTCTTTGATTATTATAATCATCATAGTGCTTGACACATGAGTTATGCAAACTATTATGACTACCAACGTGACCTTTCAAGCCTTGAGATGCATGCTTCCAATCTCTATATCCACTTTTAGTGAAGACTTCAAAACCAAAGTGCTTGGCCCTCCCGGGTTTCTTAAAGAGAAAACAATAAAAACAATAAGCTGCATCCTTTATCTCACTGTATTCTAACCATGTATAATTCTTATACCATGATTTACTAAATGATCTTT